CCCACCATTCCCCCCCCACACCCCACCATTCCCCCTCTCTCCCTCCAACTAGGATGCCCTAAATCACTGCTGTTGGTCTTGCATCTTTGCATTGTCATGTTTGACAGTTGCTGTCAAATTTTAGGTGTGTCATTCTTTTGTTCTGGTCTGAATTTTTATTTCTGGTTTTAAAGGAAACATTCCCTCTGAAAATGTGTTCATAATTGTGTGGGCTTGCAATTTACAAAACAGCTTTCCTAATTTATTTTCTTAGAATGTTGATACATTTTTCAGTGATGCAGAAAACAAACTTATGCATATACTTAATGCAAATAATCCCAAGTGGTTTACCCCAACTAAAGACTATGCTTCAGAGCTACATATTGCTGAAACAGTCGTTGGTACAGGAAATAAGTTTCTGGTAAGTTAATGTAAATTTAAATAAATATTATATATGGAGGCAACAGCATATTCTGGAGTATACATAGTAAACACGGTAAAATGTAATTAAACAAAATTAGAAACTGTAGTTAATTGTTATGTGGCTCCTGTAGGTATATGTTATTTGGAAATTATATCTTGCTTATTGAAGCAAGAATGTAAAGCCCTTTGGGAGGAAAATTTTACAAACAGGTGCTTTCATTTTTAGCATTCCAAATACATGTGATTGAAAAGCCTATTTTGCCTGTTTCTTTTTGCTAGAACTGTTCCATCTAATTGGGGTTATTTCTAAGCTCAGTTTAGCTCATTTAATCACAGTAGAATCAAATCAAGTAAAGTCTTTAATATTGGCTAATGGCTGGTTCTTAAATAGCTAATGCTTGCTAAGTGTATCTATGTTAACTCATTTAATCCTCACAAAACCCCTATGAGATAATAGCGATTATTCCCATTTTACAGATGAGGATTCTATGGCATAGAGAGAGGTTAAGTAGTTGCCTAACATCACAATGCTGGGAAAGTAGTTATTAGAACCCAGGCCGTGTGTGCTCTTAAAATGGTTTTTAAAATGCTTATCTTCGTTTAACCTATTAATAAAAAAAAGAAAAGCTTAAAGCATAAATGGTTTTCCCTACCCTTTTTTTTTTTGTCATTTACTGTGCTATGATTATTCTTCATCTTTCCTTTCATGTCATTTTTATATCCTCTTAAGCAAAATTATTTCCTTCTGGAATAGGAATAATAATGTCTCTTGAAATCATCTAACCTGTCACCAGTTAGAGGAGTGAGAATGTGTGTGGGATTTGTGTTTCAGTATTTTTAATGAAAAGTTAATTTGATTTTGTTTTATATATTAGTACATAATTATGATAGGCTACTTTTTGTTTTTTATTAGATGTCTTCTCCTAATAGTGAGATAAATTATCAACGTTCTTTATCACTTTGTACGCCAAAAGGGAGGTCTGTTTCCACACCTGAGTCAGCCCAAATGACTTCAAAGACTTGTAAAGGGGAGAAAGAGATTGACGACCCAAAAAACTGCAAAAAAAGAAAAGCCTTGGATTTCTTGAGTAGACTGCCTTTGCCTCCACCTGTTAGTCCCATGTGTACATCTGTTTCTCCGGCTGCACAGAAGGCATTTCAGCCGCCACGGAGTTGTGGCACCAAATATGAAACACCTGTGAAGAAAAGAGAATTGAATCCTCCTCAGATGACTCCACTTCAAAAATTCAGTGAAATTTCTCTTTTGGAAAGTAATTCAATAGCTGACGAAGAACTTGCATTGATAAATACCCAAGCCCTTTTATCTGGTTCAGCAGGAGAAAATCAATTACTCTCTGTCAGTGAATCCGCTAGGACTACTCCCACCAGTTCAAAAGATTATCTTGGACTGAAAGGGCATTATACTACATCTCTGATCAAAGAACGAGAGAATTCCCAAGCCAGTACAGAAGAATATGAAACTAAAATGCAGGCCACAAGTACTATAAAAACTATATCTAAGAGATTGCAAAGGCAACAAAAAGTGAAAATGACAATAAATTAGTTATTGATTCCTAACCTTACCAGTTTGTACAATATATACAATTTCAAACTGCACATCAGTATTTTTTCACAACAGGAAAAGAAGTTCCAAATTTACCTAAGTGTTTGTATATCACAAGGATGCTCTTTGCCTGATTCTATATGGCTATATTTTTATTTCAGTTGTACCTTAAAACCAACCGTCTGTTTATTAACTAATCAAGGAAAACATCTTTTAAATCTTTATTATTAGCTTTAATCACTACAAGTATTATTTTACAAGTGAAATAAACATACCTTTTTAGATTGTGTCATTGATTAAATGAAATGAGGTTTCTAAGTACAATTATTTTGACTCAGATAATTCCTTTTGGTTTAGTTCCTATTTTAGGGTGTTTCTTTTTTAGAGGTAACTCACTAAAAATAGTTTTCCTTAATGCATGTGTTGGTTCTGCTATAATTCCATCCTGTTCAAAAGTCAGTGTTATTCTCTTTGACTGATTCTTAATCCTTAAGTCAGCATGACTATAAGAAAAATAGAACCCTCAGTGTAACTCCTTTTTATGATTCCAATGTGATCTCTAAAGTTAAATTACTTCAAAATTAAAAATTTGAACACTTTGGGCCGAGCCCGTGGCACGCTTGGGAGAGTGTGGCGCTGGGAGCGCAGCAGCACTCCCGCCGCGGGTTCGGATCCTATATAGGGATGACCGGTGCGCTCACAGCGCTCACTGGCTGAGCGCGGTGCGGCCAGTCTCAAAAAGGACAAAAAAAAAAATTTTTGAACACTTTAAATCAGGGCTGGCCAGTTAGATGATTAGAGTGTGGGGCTGATAACACCAAGGTCCAGCATTCAATCCCTATACTGGCCAGTGCAAAAAAAAAATCAGCAGATTTTATAGAGGTTTTCTTTTTTTAACAAAATGGTCATCCAGACTGCAGCTTCAGAGAATATCTTGTTTTCATATTGGCACTGATTTTACCTGCTTTTTTAGCACAGTCACAGGACCCAGAACACCTTTTACATCTACTGCCAAGAAAAAGATAAAAGTTCAATTTAAGATGATACTCTCAACGTTTAATAGAGAAAAGGATAATGCGGTCTCTAGGAACTAATAGCATGGAGCAGCTCTTACGTTGGATGTTTTTGTTTGTTTCAGCAGCTGGCCGACATGGCTCTCCAAACCCTAGACCTTGTTACCAACACCATCCTCTAGCCTGCTGAGCTAACCACCGAGCCACAGCAGGTGTTTTAATATGTCTGAAATTTATGTATAATATCATGTTTTCAAATATGATTATAAACACATTTCAAAACCAAAAATAAGTCCTTTTAAAAATCAACTTCTTTCCTTCCATAAGTGTGATTCATGATTTTTCTCTCTTCTGAAAAGCATTAACATGATTTGAGCATCACATATTGCACACAGGTAATGATATCCTTCTCTGTACCTCACAGATATCTACAATCAACTATGTTACAGTAAAAATAAATCAAAAAAAAAAATTCAATGACAAGTCCATATAAATGCAGTACCATATACAATTTTCAGTAACCATAAAAGCACCTTTATATAGGACACTTAAAATAATACTTCACAGAACATTAGAAAGAAGCTGTTGGCCAACAAGAAATAGAGCATACATCCTACGTGATCTTGTCTATCCTGTTATCACACCAAATTAATCTGACTCCAACCTGTTGGAATTTACTTTGGATTCATAAATTTGGAATTTAACTTTAATTATCGGTATAAGTGGGACATTCCAGACTTGTGATAGCACTCTGTCTTAATGCCACATAAAACATCAAGACTGCTCATCATATAATGAGCATGGTTTTTACACATCCCTGTATGATCTATATCTTAGGGTGCTTGATTTCTTGCACTCCCGTGTATTTGGGCTGCCAACTAATTACACACATTTGTAGGCATAATTTTAGAAATCGGTTTTCCTTTTAAAAATCAATGTTTTGTGAAGACAGACACTTTATTTACACTGTTAGCACAATAGCCAAAAGTTAGGTTTAATCCTACTGAATAAAGTGGTTAAAACACAAGGTACGACTTTATAAATGATGCTGATTTTCCCTCAGTGGCTTATATAGCTATTAGGGATTAGACATTTTTACAATGATATTAAAATAAAGGAATAACTTCCCAAAGTGTCTACTTTGAAGAACCATGTTCCCTTAGATGTGTACTTTCTAGCATATTAGTTTTAAAGGAAAATCAGTATCATCAGAGGAACACATCTCACATTTGTGGATACAAAGACTATCAAAGTAGCAACAGCGCTAAAACTTTTCCTGCCTCCCACTTTTCCTCCCTCACCTTTCCAACTTTTCTGATCGAGATGAATTTCTTGAAAAAATAAATAGATTACTTCAGAGAAAGTTGTACTGAAGCTTATATATAATATAAACACTTTATTTCACTTATGAACATATATAACTATGATTATGTTCTTGGGTATGTTCTCAGGTTTCGGTTTCAAATTCATTCTTTCCCTAGAGAAAGAGACTTTGTTTAATCGAATCTCTGCAGAATTCCCAGCATCAGACCATGCATATAGGTGCACTTTAACAAATGCTAGTTAAAGATAATGAACATAATGACTTCTCAGAAACTTTTGGGCTCCACTATTTACACTGGAATTAGAGCTCTGACTAAAACCAAAGAATACCAAATATTGAAGTAAAAACTGATTTAGGAAAATTCTGAATGGCTATAAGATAGGCCTCTAATATCCATGGTGACAACCACCCCTTCTGTTAAAGGATCCCTCATTTGTGAAGCTGCCATGAGCCCTCCGGTTTGGAACCTCTGTGTAGGTATTCCAGTATCCTGCACCATTGGAAGGCAATGCATTATTCCTGTCCTGGTTTCTGTTCATTCTGCTTGGTTTTTCTGCATGAAGCACACTATGAAAGGTAACACCGTGTTCATACCGTTCTTTCATTCGGTGTATTTTTTCTCTTGGGACTCCATGGATGTTTCTTCTACATGGAAAAATGCAAACATTTAGTAAAGGCAGGATATTAAAATTAGTTACTTGTATTTTACAAGTCCTGTATTATTGCATAGATATTGCATGCCCTAGTCTCAGTACTTAACTCTGGCAAAAGCATAATGTCTTGCTACATAGTTATCTTTCAGGCTCAACTATTTTTCATGCTGCCTGCATACCCCCAAGCTACCCAGGAGCTAGGAGGGAGCTGATGTTTCAGGAATGCTTTGTTTCTGGCCATCTCAACTATGTACTTCAAGACATAAAAGAACACCATGAGGGGAGGGAGCTGATGTTTCAGGAATGCTTTGTTTCTGGCCATCTCAACTATGTACTTCAAGACGTAAAAGAACACCATGAGGTTTTTTTTTTTTTTAATCATATATATTATCAATTTACATCATGCACATATCTATTATCAATTTACATCATGCACATATCTATTATCAATTTACATCAACTAGTCCTTGATACTTCTAAGAGATGCTTATTAAAACAATCTTAAATTTTAGTGGGCACAAGAATTAACTGGGGATATAGTTAGAAATGTAATTACCAGAGATTCCTACTACTGAATGGGGTCCATGAACTAGGATTTTAACAACTATCTCATGCGATTCTGGTGGGAGTGGCCCACAGACCCACGTTGGAAACACTATCTGCTTATATAACCATAAGATGAACTGGCCTTACTCATAGAAAGTAAATTCTGATCTCACTGGTTACTTTAAGTCATTGACATTATCACATAAAATAGAGAGTGAATATCAGAACCCATGCATTCAATCAACAAGTTAGCATTACTTGGACATTTACTGCTTTATAAATTAGAAGCAGTATCTAAACCATAAATAAACCACAGAGTGTTGAACAGCTAAAGGTATTTATTTAGCCTAAATTCAAAAACAACATTGACATGGGCAATCCCAAGCAGACAAAAGTGCTTTTAAATGTTCATTAATAAAGAAGCATTTTAGCAGAATGTTAAGTGCATCCTTTCAAAGGATCAAGTTCAAGCCAAGATTTAGCATTTAGCATTATATTAGAAAACTGACCCAAATCTTAAAGTCTTCACATTAATAATTCCAAAGTTATCAATTTCTAAGAATTACCATTTCTGGCCTGAAAACTACCATGTCCATTTCCAGCCTGAAAAGATTCTTTTGTTCGGTCTGAAATACCTGAAAATAGCAGGATACATAATGAGGAACTAGAAAAACAAAGAAGTACCTTGCTAACTCTTGAACGTTGAATTTCCAGCGAGTGTCAGGTTCTCGGAATATAACTTCATAGTTATTTTCAAGTGCCTGATTTTTCAAAAGTACATAAAACATTGAAGACATAGTATGTATGTTTGGGAATGTTTATGCTGCCATTTAACATTTACTACAAATCATTTCTAAAATTGCTTTACCAGTAATCCAGTGCCTTAATTTATCTTAATAAATGCAGTTGGTTCCTTCTCATACTTAGCCACTCTCAGATCATATTATGGTTCCCAGTGATAAATTTTGGTCAATTTTATCTATAATATGTAGGAAAATTGTAAAGGTTTTTGTTTTGGACATCTTTAAAAACAGATGACTGAACTAAGTTTAAGACATCCTGAACACAGATATGAACAGTGAACTCAGTGGCTTCTCGGAGCTGCTTATGTGATTATTACAGATTTAGGTGTCAGATGCCTTGTCCTATTCCTCATGCCTTGCTTTAAAAAATAAAGAGTGCCACTGGAACATAGCTAATGAAATAAAAGTGATTTCCACATACTTTACATAACCTTCCCTTCAAAAGTAGATTTCCTTGCTATGCAATACAGTTTGGCTCAATGCACAGTGTCCTATTTCCTTGAGTTTAGAAAACTATTACTATTTCATACAAACATCCAAATATTCTTTGCATTCATGAATTACTACTTTATCTCAAACTGAACTTTCTTTTATCACTATTGTTTATTGTGTTATAAAATACAGAATGAAAAGAGCTAAGTAGAAAGATTTCCTCTTCATTCTTTAGATAGACGCTTCTAATTAGGGAAGGATTCAAATATCATATCTGGAAAACGTCTAATTTCTGAGCCTAATTAATAGCTGTGGATGGCTGAAAAAATATTGTACATATCCAGAAAATAAAAAGTAAAATGACTTCCCTTAATCCACTCTCAGATAATCCCTAACTCTTGTTTTAAGTTGTGCCTTAATTAATTCGACTCTTCATGTCCCTGTTCATTTCTCGCCCAAGTGGACGGTCCATCATGAACTGAAGTAACCACAAGTTAACGCTCATTCTTTCTTCCACTCGCCAAAGTCCCACAACCAGAGCCTAAGTAGAACTGATGAAAGTATCATGAGAGAAAAGCACACCTGTGGTTATGCTATTTTGCCCAAATTTTCAAAAGAAGCCTAAAAATAGATTGCCATGAGCCCAGTTTGGGAGGTATTTACTCCACAATTTACCAAGTAGGGACCAGCTGTCTGCTTCCTGCCCCACCCTGTATGTTTCTGGATCTTTTCTCATTTCTATATCCAATCTTTCCTCCTCCTTATTTATAAACTTACTTTATTATCATAAGAGATGAAGTACATCTGAAAAAGATCAAATGTACTTCAAAATTAAAGAATAATGTGCACATTGTTACATTCAACTTACTGTCCTTTTCATTGTGACCATGGAGAGCTGAGTTATATGTGTATTTATATTTGTATATAAATACATATATACATATATAGGTGTGTGTATGTATATACACATATTTGTCTTCATAAAGTTACAGTGTTAATCCTAAATCTGTTTTCAACTAAAAAATTCTGTTGTTCCTGGAAGTCCCAGGCAGCAACAGTACACAGTGCTGAACTGCCTGGCTTGCCAAAGGCAGGACTGTCCTATTATAACCTGTAACTCCGCTAGTAGCATCATTTAGTCTCATTTAGTCCAATATTTCTCTACAAGTTTCAGTGGGTGTTCCTCTGTAAGCCTCCCCTTAGGAAAATAACCAAGATGGAAAAGCTATCAAGAATTCAGACCAACAACCATTTACCAAAGACTATTTACAAATTGTACCCCATGGTGAGATCAGCATCTCAGCAAATTTCAGCCACTGAACAGCAGAGAAACCTAAAATAAAACCTCTTTACCTGCTCCTTGGGAGAACTACTGTTAGTAAATATAAAATTATGGAAGATCAGGAAAAAAGGAAAGAACAAATGTTTCAACTTTCTCACAAAATGTCCATAACTGAAAATTCAGAATGATACTTCTTCCTACCATGACTGCATAGGGCTTCATTTCCCAGGCGTGGAGGTTGGTATTATCAATAATAATGGGGGATATGCCATTCCTCATTGCTTTTCTGGCTGCAACACAATGTTATATAACAGTGAACAACATGTAACAATCAGAGAAAAGGGCGAGCGTAATCCATATTTTGTCATCTTTATTACAGGATGTCCTCATTACACAACTTTAATGCCACCTATTTCAGAAACCATTATCAATAATTTTCTTTTTCCTGGAATCTAAGGAGGTTACATTCTGGCATTCTTTTTTGAGGGGAAAAATGGCAGAATTTTTGATTAAGCTTCTTCCATAAAATTTATACATTCTGCAGCAGCTACTATCTATATGCAGAATAGGGTTTCCCAGGAGTTTGGAAAGGAATTTGTCACCTCTTTTCTGGTTCCATTCATGAGCTTCCTCCAGGAAGTCAGGATTGAACTCATAGGCACCATCTTCCCTGAAGAAAAAATCATCCGTGCTGAAAATCAGGGCCCTGGGAAAGTCATGTTGCAATTGCCTGGAAAGTGGAGAAATGAAAGAGAGTTTTTTATTATATGCATGGTCACAGTAGAAATGATTTCCTTCCATCACTAACATTTAGCAGTTTATAATTCTGAGACCACCAGGTTTTGAGTTGTTGAACTTCAATTTAAAAAGAGAGATTCTTATTATGTCTAGATGGCATCACTTCCTAACAGGCGGCAGGAGAGGCTGAGAGGCCGCTGTGTGTGTTGCCAACCCTTGGAACTAAGAGGTGCTGGTCACCACCACTGACTTCTGCAGCAACCAGGACTGAGTCAAGATGACACTCTGAGGCTAAGCTGAGAGTGTGGCACCTGTCTCTCCTGCTGGGCACCAGGCCCCACGACCCCTCCTCTCCGCGGCAGCAGGGCCCTCCTGAGATCTGTCCGCGGGAGCCACGCCAGTGCTGCATGCAGCCCTCGGCCCTGAAACTCTTACCTATCCTGGGTCCCATTTCCTTGGAGCTCTGTTTTCTATAAAGACGCATCTGGGAAACTAGTTGTTGCTGAGGTATGAAATGTGGGTAAAGGTGATGTGTGTGTGCTATCCTAGTAAGTAACATTTTTACATTTTAATAATGATCTAAACCAGATGGAAAAAAAGCACAACAGGAGAAGGAAAGAGGTAGACCCAACGTTCCCCATGCCTTCCTAAACCTCTAGACTCTGTGCCTAAACATGAAAACATAACAGAAAAGAAAAACCATTATAAGCACCCCCTTTAAAGCAACAAAACAAGCGTATTAAGCTCTGTACAAAATAACTTCAAAGAGATGTTTCCACTTGAAATCCTTACTTGGACCATTTTTGCGCAGAAGGTGGATATTATGCTAGATAGTAACTGGAGAAGTCTCTGAGCCTCCTTTCCTTGTTTGTAAAAATTGAGGAGAGTGTCACCTATCTTGCTAGGTGATGATGGTGGTCTACGAACATGGGGAAACACCGAGTACGGTGCCTAACACAGTGTATGCTTCTTTCCTTTCTCCCTGCAGCGCCCCCAGTGTAATTCTAACTTCAAAGTCAACCAGAAAATAGAAAATATGGCTACATGGGATAAGATGCTATTTAAACACTGAAGGAAAAAAAGGTTAGCGAATGACCAGGGCAGGAAATGCAAAGAGAAAACAGAGCTACTCAACTCCTTTGTTGCTATTGTTCTACACCGAGAAGAATAATCCGGAAAGAAAGGATAAACATAAGGCACTAGAGCCACAGATGAGTGAGCACCTAAGTGGCTCTGACAGACTTACATTCCATTCTTGACTCTTTCACTATCCAGGCATGTGACCTTATCTCTCCAAGTTTCTGTTTCCTTAATCGTAAAACACAGATAATAATCCCTACCTATTAAACAGAGCTTCTAGTAAGACTCAAATGAGGTAAGGTGTGGGAAAACATTTTGTAACCAGTAAGGCACTGTACAAATACAAAGTACTGTTATTTTTTAAATAATAATAACAATAAAACCAAATTTTCCAGCCCAAACTGTTAATGGGCCATAGTAATAAAATACATTGAAGTGTTATGTAAAGTAATCTTTGAAGTATTGCAGTGAATAAGAAAGACATGAAAGACAAAAATAAAGCAAATGCCTCAATCTTCAAAAATGAGTACATATACATTCCAGAAATGGTGTACAAATAAACATCTGTCAAAATTCTTCAGAAGGCTTGATAGCATTTAAAAAGGAAAAAGAGAGAGAGAGAGAGAAGGCAGCGTAGATAGCTGAAAAAGTAATTCCAAACCAAATACATTTTCTCTTTTAATGAACTATGGTGGTAAACAGGGAAATTCAATGGACAGAATATCTTGATTTAAACAGGAATATGACAGCTTCTCTTGATAGCCTTGTGGGAAAATGTGGGCCAGAAGATAGTATATTTTAGTATTCAAAGAATATTAATTATCCAACCCATTACACATTTATTGAGCACTTAACACGTGTCAAGTGTTATGCGAAGTGTTAAGGTACAAAAATAAAGTAGCTGCTTTCAAGGAATTCAGAGCCCAGCCAAGGAGCCAGACTCCTCCACAGCTGGCGTCACACAGAGCGGACAAATTGGTACCAGCAGAGCCTGAGAGAATCTAGCGTCAGCAACGTGTTCTGCCAGGGAAGCATTTGTAAAGGCCACAACGTCTGACATGGACCTTAAGGGATGAGAAAACCACTGCCTCTCGGGGGAGGGTCAAGAGTATGGGAGGTAAGAGAAGGAGGAAGCCAGTGCTTTAGGGCTTGTTATGAGCGAGGGACTGTAAGGAAAACAAGAACAAACACTAAGGGTTAAACGTGGCAAATCCCATCTGAAACACACTGCAATTCTGAGAGCCACACAATTTAAAGAGAAATTTGGCAAGATGGAATATGTCCAGAGAAAAGTGACCAGGTAAACATAAGGCCTGGAAACCATGGAAATCAGGTCAGAGGAGCAAAGATCATCAAAGAAATATGGGATGTCTAAGGTGAGAACAGAGGACAAAAGTGATTCGTGACAGTCACCCTCAGATGTTGGGAAGTCTGTTGCATGGAAGAAGGAATTAACTCATTTTGTGGGTCAGCAGTTTGGGCTGAGCGCAGCCGGACAGTTCTGCTGATCTCACCTGGGGTCCCACAGGAGCTACAGTCACCTGACAATGTGGGGTGGGGTCAGAATGGCCCGCCCTGGCCTCATTCACATGCTGGTGGTGCTGCCTGTCCACACGGGCTCCTGTCCTCAAGGAGGCTAAGCCAGGCCACTTCACAGCCGCAGTATTCAAGAGGGCAGTGGGGGACGCCCGTGGGCTTCCACCACATCCTGCTGGTCAAAGCAAGTCACCTTGCTGGCCCACACTGAAGGGGTGGGAAAATAGCTTCAACTTCTTGAAGGAAGGGGGAGCAAAAAAATGTGGCCACTTTAAATTTACCGCAGGCATAGAAAGTGACATGAAAGAAGGGACGTGTATAAAGAGGACCTGATGATAAAAATGTTCCTAGTTTCCATATGAATGTCTATTATTTGACCTTAAAGATATTCAAACTGAAAAGTACAAATCATAAGTCCAAACCTTAACCTCCAATGCTAACAATTATTATAAAGACACCTTAGAAAAAAACGTAAGGGTAGCACTAGATGCATTTTCAAGTATATATACTTTATATTTGTGAACACTGTACAGTTTTTAAATTATTTTCATCAATATTATTTAGTGTGAACAAATGAAAGCTATGTTCAGAGGTTAAATAACAGTGCATAATTTATTTCTCTTATCTTGTGTGTACCAAAGTAAGCAACTATGGAAATTGACTCCAAGATTTTTGGTCCGGGATTTGATAACCCTTCTAAATCTGGTTTGGTTTTCCTATTAAGTCTGCCACTCATAGGGTTTTTTGTTGTTTTTAGAACATTTTCAGAGTTGAATTTTTCTTTTCATATACATATCCTTATCTACTCTTGTTTTCCTCTTTATGGTTTATACTATCAAGTGGAAGTTAACACTCCCTAATTTGAATCCTATTCCTTTCTAGAAAACAAACAAAAAAAACAAACATAAAACTACTGCCCTTTTTGATTGCAAAATTTTACCTCAAATTGTTTGGGACCACTATGGGGAGAGACCACCTTCTCACAGTTTCCTAAGACATCCTGACTACGAGCGTCGTACTCCTCCCAACACACAGGCAGACAGAAATATCAGTGGTTTTTGCCTTTCTGGCTCTAATGGATTTTTTCGGTCTGTATGATCTTTCTAAATGATCATTTCTTCAAAAACTTATTTTATTTTCACCTAAATGTTAAATTAGCACTGGCAGCATAGTAGAATCTTGAATAAGCAGGACAATAAAATCTCTACTAGCTAAATAAAGAACTGATTAAACACAATCTTCAGATTCTCAAACTTAAGTGGAAGCAATAAATACCATTCCATCAGCTTCAGAAGTGGTGAGGATAATGCCCCAGCTCTATCTTTCTTTATGGTGGTCAGGAGCCTCATGCATTAGGGAAATTGAGAGAATGGAAATAAAAGAAAGGGAAAAAATAGAAAGACAATTACTTCCACATAACCTTCACCTCCCCCACTTCCCCCCC